GTAAAGCTGAAACTTATATGTACAGCCTGTTGCCCTCTTACAGGTCTTCTACATCTTGACCCCATATCTGGTACACTTGCTGAGGAGAAATTGTTTGAATGCAAGGCAGCCAGAAAAACTGAGGGACTCATCAACGCAGATTTTTTTGCTGGGGAGTATAGACACCTACAAATTTTTGGTTAAGGTGATTTGAGGGGCTGAATTTTGTGGAGCCAGTGAAATTCAGGGTTACCCCGAGGACGACAGTGTATTATCGTTGAAATGCACAAAACATTATACTCATATCTATGCCTGGCCATGGTAGCAGAGAACACGGGCATATGATGAATTGGGTCTGTGGACCAATACAAGCGCAATTCATTTTTTTTTTTTTAATAATGCCCAAGTTGAGGGTTAGGCCCCCCCAAAAAAATGTAAAATTCAGAAACCGTAATGGGTTTCCATGCGAATAGTCTGGTAAGGTTTGAATTTGGGTTCACAATAAATTGTTGTGCATATAAATTGCTTTGATCCACAATCAATGCATACAAATATTTCTTGAAAAAAAGCTCCAAAAAATCAAGGGGAGGAGTTAAATGTGCTGTTTCCACCTGAATTCCGGGTTGGGCAGTGGATGGGGGAAGTATGGGTGCTGCAGAATGTGGGCTGCCAATTGGGATTTTCAAGCACATCTGGAAGGTTACTATGGACCTGTGTGCAAATTCTTGGTGGTTGCGGGACAATACTTGGGCTCGCCAGCACACCAGCTTGTACTGCACTTATGGGACTCGCCACATCACCAAGTGATACTGCAGTGCTGGTATGTGAAAGACCAGGATGTACTAGGCCGCTGGTGCTCGCCAGTTCACCAAAAAGGTAGCGTGGCACTAGTACGGACACTCTGCTCCATATGAGAGTCATCAAAATTTACCAGCAAGTGCTAACAAAGATCAGGTCTGATTCTGCGAACATGGTTTTGTGTGCAATGTATTAAGCGACAGTGACCTACTGACACTGTACTTGCTGGGATAGAAGGGATGGGGGGTAAGCTTGGGAATAAACGCAGGTGCTGGTAGGTATGAGGGCTGATCCCGCTAACGCTGAGTTTTTGGGGACACTATACTAAGATATTGATCAGTTCAGACACTATACTAGCAATGGAGTTTTATTGTGCATGAGCGTGCTCCTGGCAATCAAGAGGTTATATACATATACACATACACACGATTTTGCGCACCTGTGCCGCTCTGTAGCAGTATTTCTGCTATAGAGCGGTCAGGTGGTAGTGGTTTGTGTTACGGCGCTGTGTTACTTTGACAATTGGGCGGTCATGCAACACTGCACCAAAACGAAATTTACATCTTTTTCCCATGAATTGAGCCTTCTTTCGGTGGCATTTGATCGCCTGTGCGGTTTTATTTTTTGCAGTTAAAAAAAAATGTAATATATATATATATATATATATATATATATATATATATATATATATATGAGTTTTTAAAATAAAACATGTCCAGTAAAGAAAAAATAAAAATCAAATGTCATAAATTTAGGCCAAAATGTATTCTGCGACATATCTTTGCAAAAGGAAAAAAAAAAAAAAAAAATCCTAGTACATGTAAATTGGTTTACGTGAACGTTATAGCGTCTACAAATGGCAGTGTATATACTGGAATTTTTTTTTTTTTTTTTTTATACTAATAATGGCAGTGATCAGTGACTTATGGCGGGACTGCGGCGGACATTCTGACACTGCAGGGGAACTGACGGTGTCACTGGGGATGTCAGTGACCCAAATACAGTGATCAGTGCAAAAAAAAAAACAAAAAAAAAAAAACACCTGACTGTACTAATAGCATTGGGGAGTAAGGGGTTAACATTAGAAGGCAATCAAATGGTTAACTGTGTGAGGAAAGGGTTTCACTAGGGGGCAGGGGGTGTGTGCTTCACTGTAACACACTGATCCAGAAGGCTGTGCTCAGTGTGTTCCTGATCAGTGTGCTTAAAAACTGTCAGAGGAGAGCTGCATTGAAAACAATTCAGTCTTCCTCCCAGTCAGTGTTTGCCGGTAATTGCCAGGCTCCAGCGGGTAATCATCGGCTGGGATCTGGTGGCTGACACCCGTGGCCATGATTGGCAGCACCGGGTAGGGTGGGTGTGCGCCTCCTACCCAAAATGAAAAATATCACATACACTAAAATTTATATATTTTACACACACACACACTTTGCGCAGCAGTGCCAACCTGCCGCATTAAATTTACTGTGGCTGGTCGGCAAGCGGTTAATTTACACAAGATTGTATTTTTTGTAATGAGTGGCCATTATTTTTTGCAGGAAAAGCAGTGCGTTAAGACTATTTACTTAATTCATACTTTGTGTATGTCCTACACAATATATATGAGGCAATAAAGTTTCAATTAAAAAGTATATACACTGCTCAAAAAAATTCAAGCAACACTTTAAATCAGAGTAGAGCATCAAGTTAATTAAACTCCTGGGATATTGATCTGGTCAGCTAAGTAGCAGAGGGGGTTTGTTAATCAGTTTCAGCTGCTTTGGTGTTAATAAAATTAACAGGTGCACTAGATGGGCAACAATGAGACGACCCCCAAAACAGCAATGGTTTTATAGGTGGAGGCCACTGACAATTTCCCTACTCAACTTTTCTGACAGTTTTTCACCAGTTTTGAATTTGGCTAGGGTCAGTGTCACTACTGGTAGCATGAGGCGATACCTGGACCCTACAGAGGTTGCAGACAATCCAACTCCTCCAGGATGGCAGATCAATACGTGCCATTGTCAGAAAGTTTGCTGCGTCTCCCAGCAAAGTCTCAAGAGCATGTAGGAGATTCCAGGAGGCAGGCAGTTACTCTAGGGGAGCTGGACAGGGTCCTAGAAGATCCTTAACCCATCAGGACTGGTATCTGCTCCTTTGTAAAAGGAGAAACAGGATGAGCATTGCCAGAACCCTACAAAATGACCTCCAACAGGCCACTGGTGTGAGTGTCTCTGACCAAACAACCAGAAACAGATTTCATGAGGGTGGCTGGATGTCCTCTAGTGGGCCCTGTGCTCACTGCCCAGCACCATAGAGCTCAATTGGCATTTGCCATTGAACACCAGAATTGGCAGGTCCGCCACTGGCACCCTGTGCTTTTCACAGATGAGAGCAGGTCCTCTTCCCCCCCCCCCCCCCCCCCCCCCCCCCCCCAAGCACATGATAAACGTGAAAGGATCTGGAGAAGCCGTAGAGAATATTATGCTGCCTGTAACATCATTCAGCATGACAGTTTTGGTGGTGGGCAAGTGGATTTTCCGTTGAGGCATATCCATGGAAGGACGTACAAACCTCTAAAGGCTAGACAATGGCACCCTGTCTGCCATTAGGTATCGGGATGAAATCCTTGGACCCATTGTCAGACCCTACCTTGGTGCACGACAATGCCTGGCCTCAGGTGGCGAGAGCATGCAGGCAGTTCCTGGAGGATGGAGGAACTGATGCCATTGAATGGCCCCCACGCTGAATAAATTGAACAGAACACCTCTGGGATATCATGTTTCGGTCCATCCGACGCCACCAGGTTGCCCTGGTCCAAATCTGGGAGGAAATACCCCAGGACACCATCCGTCAACTCATTAGGAGCATGTCCTGATGTAGTCAGGCATGCATACAAGCACGTGGGGGCCATACAAACTACTGAGTACCATTTTGAGTTGCTGCAATGAAGTTTCAGCAAATTGGACTAACCTGTTGCATCATTTAATCATTTTAATTTTCGGGGTGTCATTGAATTCAGTTCTTCTGTAGGTTGATCATTTTCATTTCCATCAAAATGATGGGGCATCCTTCCATTCCTAACACAGTACCCAGTCCATTTCAGTATACATATCCAGCATTATATTTTTTTGAGCAGTGTATTTTCATTATTGGAAAGTTATGTATATGTGAATATTTCTGGGGAAGGGGTCCATAGCTTTCAACAGATTCTTTAAGAGGCCTGTATCTCAAGAAGAACCCCCGTCCTTGAAGATTGCACGCAAAAAAAAAAAAAAAAAAAAAGTATTCATGGTCCCTGGAATACTTGCAATCAGTAGCTCCACTGTCAAGAATGACATCCCCCAAGACACGCTGCTTTTACCAATAGTTCTACTGCACCTTGTATTCCCACTATGAAATACTGACTTCTCAGAGCACCCCCCCTGCTGCTGCCAACGCTCCAGTTCACATGCTCTACCTTACTAGTTAAGTCAATCGGCCACACTGTGCATGCCGTCACTGCATCGTCCCACATGTGGTCTGGGTACCATTGCCCTGAGCAATAAAAAGCTGTAGAAATGGATCCAGATAAAGCCATTCTGATCCTGGGTGGAAGCACTGGGAAGCTATTTTTGTGCAGAGAACTGCACAGATGTGACCACCTTCAGATGGATGGCCCTAACAGGCACAGGTTAGGCCTAGGAAGGGTGCTTCTTGCCTTTTTTGCCAGTGTCCAATCACTGGTAGATGGCACAATTATACTGAAGACGGTGTCTCGTGATGTACAATAAAGAAAGCAACCTTTGTGCTCCCCTCTGATCCAAGCACTGCTTAGTCCTGGAAAAAGGCCTGCCCACCGATGCAAAAAGAAGCCAGGGATGAGGTTGCAAAAACACAGAAGACTTCTAGAAAGAGGGAATGTATTAAAAAGGGAAAAAAAAAAGCCCTTAAGAGAAAAAGTATCTCGTGAAGGAGGTGAAATCCTGGAGATCGGCTTTAAAGGCCTTGACTTGGTTGACTGAGAATAAGCTCCACCCCCTTTAAACCAAGCTTACCCACGTGTTGACTGGATTCTCCACTAACACCTTTAATAACCACAGAGCAGCTCTCAGACAGGGAACTGCAGGTGGGTGGAGCATAGAAAAATAAAGGACTAGTAAAAGTGTTCTGACTAAAACAGCAGGCATCTTGTGGTTTCGGCTACTGGAGGTAAGACTTATACAAAAAAAAGCAAATCTGTAACGTGTATATCATGTACCCACCTCTTTACACGCACACTATGGGCCGCATAACCCTGAACTCCAATCATGACATCTGCTTCATCTAGTACAAAGACACATATGTTCTTCGGATTCACAATCTTCAGCTTGAGGCACCAATCCATGACTGTTCCCGGGGTCCCAACGACAATCTGCGCTTCTATATTGCTGCCTTTAGCCGCTAAAGACAACAAAATAAATCTAATTTTATGGTTTGTATTGATGACAGGCAATGTAAATGTAGATTAATGAAGGTATATTTTTGTGGTAAAACAGCAATAACCTAGTGTCAAATTGTTAGAGTTACATAGTTGCCAAGGTTGAATAAAGACACCAATCCATTCAGTTCAGTCTGTGTGGGCATAAAATTAACCCTCTTGTATTGAACTGTAATGTTGCTGTATTGTCTCCCGCTATATTGTAAAGTGCTGAGCAAACTGTTGGTGCTATATAAAAATCCTGTATAATTAATTAATTATATCTTCCCATAAACCTGTATTTTGTTTGATAAGATGCCCATCTAAAAAAAGTTTTCAAGTATCCACACTTCCTGCTGACACATTGATTGTGGAAGGAGTTCTACATCATAACCATAAAAAAAACTCTACACAAAAATGTTAAACTACTTCTCGCCCAACTTCATCAATGACCTTGTGTAAAAGTTCTGATACTGAATAGTTTTTTCCCCTATGCTGGCATAACCGTTAAGATATTTGTTTATTGTGATCATGTCTCCTCTTAAGAGTCTTCTACAGTGAAAAGAAGTTTAAGGATTGCAGATGTTCCTCCTAACAGAGATCCTTCAGTCCTCTTATTAGTTTTGTTGTCGTTCTCTGGGCGCTCTCCAGTTCCAGCACATCCTGCGGACCTGTGACCAAAAAAAAAAAAAAAAAAAAAAAAGGACAGCATACTCCAGATGTGGCTAAATTAGTATTGTAATGTGGTAGAATTATAGTTTCTCTCTGGAGTAAACAGCATTTTTTAAATGCAGGCCAACAGTCTGCTGGCTTTGTTCGCTGCAGCTTGCAATTACAGGACATTGCTGGGTCAGTCATCTACTAGAACCCCCAGAGGTTCTCCCCTTGTGTGTAACTTGCATTTGTGTTTTTATAACCCAAGTGTACCAATTTATACTTTCCCACATTGAACCTCATGCCATGTAGCTGCCCACCTCTAACTGATCGAGTCCTTCCTGAGAAGTTGCTATATCCTGTTGTGGGGGTTTTACCCTGCCACACTTTGTTCAATCTCTGTTTGCCAACGATACAATTTATACCCACCTTCCCCTCTGTTATTTACAAACAAGTTAAATATAATTGGTCCCAGGACAGAGCCTTGGTGCACACCACTTACAATTCAGACCATTTAGAAAATATTCCATTTATCCCCACTCTTTGAGTGCACTCCTTTAACAAGTTTTCTATCCAGGTACATACACCATCTTCAATACCAAACACATCTTAAATTTTTAAATTAAGTGTTTTATGAGGTATCATATCAAATGCTTTGAGGAAATCTAGATACGCTACATCCACAGGGCTTCCGTCTATCCAGATTATAGCTCATTTCCGCAGAATGTTAACAGGTTGGTATATAACAAAAACGATCGTAAGTCAATGCCGACTACTACTGATATGGTTTTCATCAGCAAATTCTTGGATATCCTTATTTTCTCTAATAGTTTACAGCTTATTGATGCTAGGCTGACTGGCCTGTAGTTTCCAGGTATTTATCTTGGCCCTTTATGTATTGGAATTACAATAGCTTTTTTCGCCAACGGCTGGTACCGTTCTGGTTAGCAAGTTGTCCTTAAAGATAAGGAATAAGACCATGCTAAGGTCTTTGAGGACTCTTGGGTGTAAGCCATCTGGCCCTGGTAATCTGCCAGCATTCAAGAAAATGTAAAATTTCACATTCCTGATATGTGCCTGCTGTACCATGTACTCTTATGAAAAAGTTTGCTTCCATTGTGTGAGATTCCTGGCGCTTCTGCCAATCCCTTTTTTTTTTTTATTTTTTATTAAAAACTGCCCACACAAGGCATGCAAGCACAGCATGGCCAGTTCTACAGCAGTGCTGGGAAACAAGACTGCTCTCCTTCAATGGTCAGACATGTCCTGACACCCCCCCCCTTGCACAGCCACTCACTGGGAAGTTGTGTGTGGCTGTTCCTCCTCCCGCAGCTCTTATGAACAGAGGGCATATAAACACACACACACGTACTGGGACAACCCTCCAAATCATTGGATTCAGGTGTTCCAATCACCTCCATGGACACAGATGTATAAAATCAAGCACCTAGGCATGCAGACTGCTTCTACAAACATTTGTGAAAGAATGGGTCATTCGGAGCTCAGTGAATTCAAGCGTGGTACCGTAATAAGTTGCTACCTGTGCAATAAGTCCATCCATAACATTTCCTTGCTATTATATCACGAACAGAAGACTGGAATATTTAACAAAGGTGGAAGCAACAGGGAGCAGCAGCAACTCAGCCACGAAATGGTAAGTCACAAAATGAGAGCAGGGTCAGCACATGCTAAAGCACACAGAAGTCAGCAACTGTCTGCAGAGTCAACAGCTAAAGAGCTCCAAACTGTGTGGCCTTCAGATTAGCACAACAGTGCATAGTGAGCTTCATGGGATGGGTTTCCATGGCCGAGCAGCTGCATCCAAGCCTTACATCACCAAGTGCAATGCAAAGCGTCTGATGCAGTGGTATAAAGCACGCATCCACTGGACTACAGCAGTGGAGACATGTTCTCTGGAGTGGCAAATCACGCTTCTTTCTGGCGATCCAATGGACGGGTCCGGGTCTGGCAATTGCCAGGAGAATGGTACTTGCCTGGCTGCACTGTGCCAAGTGTAAAGTTTGGGGGGGGGGGGGTTATGGTGTGGGGTTGCTTTTCATGGGTTGGGCTTGGACCCTTGGTTCCAGTGAAGGAACTCCTATGGCATCAGCACACCAAGCCATTTGACAATTTCATGCTCCCAACTTTGTGGGAAAAGTTTGGGGATGACCCCTTCCTGTTCCAATAGCACTGTGCACCAGTGCACACAGAAAAGTCCATAAAGACATGGATGAGAGAGTTTGGGATGGAGGAACTTGACTGGCCCGCACAGAGTCCGGACCTCAACCTGATAGAACACCTTTGCGATGAATTAGAGCGGAGACTGCAAGCCAGACATCAATGCCTGACTTCACAAATGTGCTTCTGGAAGAATGGTCAAACATTCCCATAGACACTTCTAAACCTTGTGGAAAGCCTTCCCAGAAGAGTTGAAGCTGCTATATCTGCAAAAGGGTAGGCCAACTCAATATTGAACCCTATGGACTAAGACTGGGATACCATTAAAGTTCATGTGCGTGCCAAGGCAGGCATCCCAATACTTTTGGCAATATAGTGTGTATTGTATCCCACAGAAGTGAGTAAACCCCTCACATTTTTGTAAAGATTTTATATCTTTTCATGTGACATTAAGAAATGACACTTTGCTACAATGTAAAGTAGTGAGAGTGTACAGCTTGTATACCAGTGTAAATTTGCGGTCCCCTCAAAATAACTCCACACAGCCATTAATGTCTAAACTGCTGGCAACAAAAGTGAGTACACCCCTAAGTAAAAATGTCCAAATTGGGCCCAAAGTGTCAATATTTTGTGTGGCCACCATTCTTTTCCAGCACTGCCTTAACCCTCTTGGGCATGGAGTTCACCAGTTTCACAGGTTGCCTCTGGAGTCTTCTTCCACTCACGGAGGGGGGGGGGGGGGGGGGGGGGGTTGTTAAAGAGACCTTGCGCTCCTCCACTTTCTATTTGAGGAAGCCCCACAGATGCTCAATAGGGTTTAGGTGTGGGTACATGCTTGGCCAGCCACCTTTACCTTCAGCTTCTTTAGCAAGGCAGTGGTAGTCCTGGAGGTGTGTTTGGGGTTATGTTGGAATACTGCACTGCAGCCCAGTCTCCAAATGGAAGGGATCATGCTCTGCTTCAGTAGATCACAGTACATATTGGCATTCATTTTTCCCTCAATGAACTGTAGCTCCTCAGTGTCAGAAACACTCATGCAGCCCCAGACCATGACACTCCCACCACCATGCTTTACTGTAGGCAAGACACTTGTCTTGGTACTCCTCACCTGGTTGCCGCCACACACGATTGACACCATCTGAACCAAATAAGTTTCTTGGTCTCATCAGACCGCAGGGCATGGTTCCAGTAATCCATGTCCTTAATCTGCTTGTCTTAAGCAAAATGTTTGCGGGCTCTCTTCTGCATCATCTTTAGAAAAGGCTTCCTTCTGGGACGACAGCCATGCAGAGCAATTTGATGCAGTGTGCGGCGTATGTTCTGAGCACTGACAGGCTGACCCTCCCACCCCCTCAACCTCTGCAACAATGCTGGCAGCACTCATACATCTATTTCCCAAAGACAACCTCTGGATATGACGCTGAGCACGTGCACTCAACTTCTTTGGCCGACCATGGCGATGTCTGTTCTGAGTGGAACCTGGCCATCTTTATGTAGAGCAACAATTCTTTTTTTCAGATCCTCAGAGAGTTCTTTGCCATGAGGTGCCATGTTGAAACTCCAGTGATCAGTAAGAGTGAGAGCGATAACACCAAATTTAAATACACCTGCTCCCCATTCACACCTGAGACCTTGTAACACTGAGTCACATGACACCAGGGAGGGAAACGGCTAATTGGGCCCAATCTGGACATTTTCACTTAAGGGTGTACTCACTTTTGTTGCCAGTGGTTTAGACATTATTGGCTGTGTGGAGTTATTTTGAGGGGACAGTAAATTTACACAGTTATACAAGTTGTACACTCACTACTTTACATTGTAACAAAGTAATTTCTTCAGTGTTGTCACATGAAATGATACTATTACCAACTCCATGATTTACTGTAGGAATGTTATCTGGATGGTGAGCTGTATTGGAATTCCAGCAGCCATTCCGTTTAGGTCAACTAATTCAATTTTAGTCTCATCTGACCAGACCACTTTTCCCATGCGACCTCAATCTTCAAGGTGCATTTTGACAAAGCTCAGTTGTGACTGCATGTGGCCTTTGAGTGGCTTTTTTTCTTGTGGCCCTCCCATGCAAGCCACATTTGTGGAGAATTTTGAGATAGCGTTGTCACACAATGACCACCTTTTGTCAAAATTCCTGGAA